AATCCAATTCGAAAACGATTTCGTGTTTCGCGAGAAAAAGTCTTTCAAAAAAACTCTCATTTTGTCCAAAAGTTTTCCACAAATCACTCAAAAGAACGGCTTTTTGTGGACCTCTTGCGACAACCTCTTAATCTCTAGTCACGTGACACTTAATCCTCCCGAAGAGTCTTTAGAACCGCTTTTGGAAAGCGTTTCGAGAATAAGAAAACGATTTTTTCGATGATTTTTAGCAATAATTCAATAAAACATTAATTTATTCTCAATTCTCGCAATTATTTCTGCAAATCGCGCGCTTCCAATCGCACGAAGCCATGATCGACATCGGGTTCCCCGCGAACACGGCGTCTAATGGGAGGTAAAGACAGTCAGTCATTGACAACGCTTTTAACTCTCGTTTACCCGAAATTCTTCGTTCGGCCAAACATTGGATCCAATTCTCGTCGCAATTCTCGAGACACCAAAAGACGGCGAAAATCAACACTAAATTCAACAAAGTTTTCATTTTCCTCAAAATCTTATCATTTTCTCGCATTTTATATCAATTTTTAACCCATTTTTCGCTTCAAATCCTTTAATCCTTTCTTAATCCTAATTCCGGATCAGAATTTGAACTCAATTTTTGGTTTCATTTCAGAAACAAATGTTTTTTTGTTTTTCAGAAAAACAAAAGATTTTTGTTTCGAAAAAACATTTTTTCAAAAATGAATTCAAAAACAAAACATTTGTTTTCAAAAAGTTTATTCACTTTTTCTCCAAATTCCGCCCAAAACCCCTATTCGCCTCCTCTTACGCCTCCTTTCATTCATTCGCTTTCATTTCTTACAAATTTTCGTCCATTTTATCGAATTTTAGCCGAAATTCGAGAAAAGAAATGGAAATTCGGCAAAAAATGCGTTCTTTTGGCCGAAAATAAGAAAACAAAAGAAAACATGTTTTTCACAAATGATTGACATTTCATTGAAACGCAAAAAGGGATAAAAATCGCGAAAATTCGCGAAAAATTTCATTTCTTTCCAATTCTTTGAGCGAAATGTCGAAAAAGCAAATTCTTCTCGCGCTGGTCTTCGCGGCCACTTTCGTCGCCATCCACGGCCAGAAATGCAACTCTGGCTGCGACTGTCAGTGCATTTGCCCGCCCAGCAGTAGCGGCAGTGGCGGCGGCGGCGCCGGGGGCGGAGGTGCCGGTGGAGGCGGTGGAGGCGGGGGAGGCGGCGCAGGAGGTTTGTATTGCTTGCATGTTGACCACATATAACGATCGCTCTCTGTAAACAGGCACCACCACCATGTGCCCGATGTGTCCCTCGATGAACGGCACGGGCACGCCCTCGCCGTCGGGCGCCACGAGCGACTGCGACAACATGATCCGCGCGGCGGCCATGAAGTACACGAGCGTGGGAACCATTCTGGGCGCGGTGCTCAACACGCTGCTCTCGGAACTCGTCATTCCCATCCTCTCCATCGTGCTGTTCGGCAACAACACAGTGGAGGGCGCCGTCATCCCCCTGACCAACACCCTGTGCTACATCGTGGGACTGGTGCTGCTGTTGCTGCAGAACCTGCGACTGCTGGGCATTCTGGGAATGGGCGGACTGCTGGCCAACCTGTTGGGCGGAATCACCGGCAAATAATATAATCACACTTTTGTACAGTTTTTAACAGTATTTCTCATGTTTTGCTACTTTTTGTAAATATTTCGGGATTTCAATAAAAATCATTTATTTATCAAAAAAATTATTCTTTTATTCATGAAAAATAAACTCAAAATCCAAGAAATTGTTCAAAAAGTCTCTCAAATATAGAAAAGAGTGAAAAAGTGGAAAAAAGCGAAACAAAATTCGTTTCGAATTTCGGGTCAAAAGAATTGCAAAGAATTGAAAACAGATTTCGAAAAAAATGTTTTCTTTTGTCTTCTTTTTGATTGACGTTTGAATTGAAAAACATTTTCGAAATTATTTCCAAATTCAGAGAAAAGTATAAAAAGAGCGAAAAATGTGAGAAAAACTTCATTTTCAGAAATTCTGTAGAAATGAAGACTTTATTCAAAATCGCGTTTCTTTTCGCTTCTCTTCTGCTCTTCGTCGACGCCTGGAGTTCTGGCGGCGGCGACTCCTCGTGGGGCGGCGGAGGCGGAGGCGGCGGGAGTCCCGCTCCGGGCACACCGGGAGGGCCGGGCGGTCCCGGAGGACCAGGTATGCCGTGAGTAAACAGAGTTCCCTTTCTAACGCTTTCATTGCAGGCGGACCTGGAGGCCCGGGAGGACCAGGCGGCCCCGGCGGTCCCGGAGGACCAGGTTTGTATTCATTCCGACAACACCTGTGATTAACTCCATTTGCTTTCAAAGGCGGCCCCGCTGTCTGTCCGGCCAACAACGCTGGCCCCTGTAGCTGTCTGTGCAACTGCACTGCCACCGGCGGCACCACCCCGGGCACCCCCACCACAGGCCCCACTACCGGCCCTACTACCGGCCCCACCACTGGGCCCGTGTGCCCCACGTGTCCGGCGATGCCGACGGGCGGACCCACGGGAGGAACGAACCCTTCGGTGCCGTCGCAGTGCGACGACATGATCCGCATGGCCGCCACGACCTACACCAGCGTTGGAGCCATTCTGGGCGCCATCCTCAACACTGTGCTCGCGGAGCTCGTGTTCCCCATCCTGACCATCGTGCTGTTCGGCAACAACACGGTAGAGGGCGCTGTCATTCCCCTCACCAACACCCTGTGCTACATCCTGGGTCTGGTGCTGTTGTTGTTGCAGAACCTGCGCCTCTTGGGACTGTTGGGACCGGGCGGTCTCCTGGGCAACCTGTTGGGCGGCATCGCGGGCGCCGGCAAATAAGAGTCACGTGTTTATGTTTATTAATAGCAAAAAGTAGCAAAACTTGTAAAAAACAAAAATACTGTAAAAACTGTAAATATTTTCAATTATTTATTATTTTGGGATTTTTTTGTTTGAAATAAAAATTCATTTCTTTTCTGAAAATTTCATTTGTTTTCCATTTTTTGAATCAAAAATTCGATAAAAATATGAATTATTTTCAAAATTAACGCAAAATTAGTTTAAAAACCGTTTTCGGAAAAAGAGATCAAAAAACCGAAGAATTTCCGAAATTATGTTTTCTTTTAAAAAAACACATTTTTTTCTGAAATTCGAGACAAAAGACGAAAACAAAAGAATATTTTTACACGAAATGTGTTTTGGATTCGAAAAAAGTATAAATTCGAGAGAATTTCCAAAAATCGTATCATTTTTGGAGAAATGTTTGCAAAAAACTTACTCTCGATCGCAATCATCGCTCTTTTGGGCGTTTCTCTCGTCAGAGGCGCCTGCAATTGCAAGTGCCCGGGCGGCACAGGCGGCACTGGTGGTGGTGGTGGTGGCGGGGGCGGTGGCAGCACCGGCACAATGGTTCCGTGTCCCACGTGCTCCCCTGGCAGTGGCGGCCCGACGACCGCGCCGACGACTGGCCCGGGCGGCTCCAACAGCACGATCTCCGGCCCGTGCGAGGCGGCCGTCGCGAGTGTGGGCGCCGTGTCGGGAATGAACCCGGGCGCACTGCTCGGACTGATCCTGTCCTACCTGTTGGGCAATCTGGTGATGCCGATCCTCACGATCGTTCTCTCGGGCAACAACACCCTCCAGGGCGCCGTTCTCCCGCTCGCCAACGTGTTGTGCACTTTGGTGGGTCTGGTGCTGCTGCTGTTGCGCTCGCTCGGCCTGCTCGGGCTGCTGGGCTCGGGCGGACTGCTCGGCAACCTGTTGGGCGGCATCGCTGGCAAATAATAATAATAATGTTTCAATAAAGAGAAAGAGATTTTGGGTTTTAATTAATTTTATGTATTTTTAATGTATTTTTGTATTTATTTTCATATCTTTTAACGAATAAACAATTAATTAATGTTTTAAAACTATTTTCCATTCATTTCTCGTTTTGACGAAAAGTGCCGAAAATTCGTTCCATTTTTGGCCAAATTTCCGCCATTTTTGAAGTCATTGTCTTTTCGAACATTTGTTCCGAAATTCAGAACAAAAGAAAAACAAATGTTTTTTCGAAACAAAAGAAAAGTTTTTCCAAAAAAGTATAAAAAGCGAGAATTTTTCGCGAAATTCATTAGAAATCGAAATGGAATTCAAAAAAGCAATTCTTTTCTCGCTTTTCGTCTCAAACGTCCTCTCATTCGGCTCTTCCGGCGGATGGAATGGCGGCCACTCTTCGGGCGGCGGCGGAGGGACGCCCTGGCAGTGGATCTACCCCGACGACTTGGGGCCCCCCGGAGGCAACACTCCGTCCAACAGTAAACCGAATCACAATCACTTCAACGCTAATCCCTCTCTCGACAGACATTCCGACGCGACCGCCAGGAGGACAGACGCCGGCGCCCACCACCGGCCCGGGCACTCCCACCACAGCACCTACCACCGGACCCACCAGCTCCACTCCGGCTCCGGGACAGTGCGACGCCTGTAACTGCAACTGCGACTGCACCGGCAGCGGCGGCACCAGCCCTGGCACGCCCACCGGCTCCACCCCCACAGGCATGTTGCCCACCTGCCCGCCCTGTCCCCCGCCAGTGACGGCGCCCCCCGGCACGCCCACCACGGCCCCCACCACCGCGCCGCCCAACTCCGCCGCGGGCGCGTGTCAACAGCGGCTGATCGCGGCCGCCGCGACGAACACGACTCTCGGCCAGATTTTGGGCGCCATTTTGAACGAAGTGCTCTCGAAGCTCGTGATTCCCATTCTCTCTATCATTCTCTTCGGCGACAACTCCATCCAAAACGCCGTCATTCCGCTCACCACTGAGCTCTGCTATATATTAGGTCTGGTGCTGCTCCTGCTGCAGAACATCGGCGCTTTGGGCGCTCTCGGCCCGGGCGGCCTCGTGGGCAACCTGGCCGGCGGCATCGCTGGCGGCAAATAGAGACAACAATTCGACATTTTGAATCTCTTTCTCTTTATTTCGGGTTTTTTTCATTCAATAAATAAAACGTTAATTAATTCACAAATCGTTGACCAAAACGACCGCCAGATGGCAGTGCAGGTCGAAGGAGCCCGCGATCGACAGATACACGTCCACCACGTGCTTCACGCGGATGATGGGACACGTGTTGTGGAGCACGCGCGCCGACACCGGCACCGGCAGCAGCAGCGTCTCCGTGGCCAATGTCTGCGCGCCGATTATTGGTCCCGAGACGCGCGCGATCTTCTCCTCCTCCTTCTTCTGCGCGCCCGACGCGAAGAACAGCGTTTCCTCTTTGAGCGTCGCATTCAACGTCATCGCCTTCTTGCTCCGGTTGTCCACGAAACACGTGATCGCCATCGCGCGCCCGATTGGATGCGCGGTGCGCGCGCACTCCGCCCTCAAGGAGAGGGGCGCGCCCCCGAACACGCCCACCGTCTTATTGGCGCTCGCCATCACCGGCAACTGCGGAAACGCAACACAATAAGTGATTTCTTTGACTCTTTGAACTCACGGCGATTTCTTGCGCGGAAATCAAAGGATTGGAAATTATTTTGATTCCAATTTTGGTCTTTTCGTCGAAAGCGAAGAATTGCGTCTTTTTCACGTGACTTTCGATGAAATACCGAATTCTCCCGAACTTTGCTTCCAATGTCTGCGGAATTGATCTCAAGATTCAAGAGTTAATAACCAATAAATGAGTGTTCAATGGAATACCCGTCGATTGGGAGCTGGAAGTTGAGGCCGATGTTGTGCTGACCGGAAGTCAGGAGCGAGGGATAGACTAAAGGGAGAGAGCGTGAGAGGGGAAGAGAGAATGGAGGAGAATACCGTTTCCGGGGCAGTAGTGGAGGTCGAGGCACTGGTGGTGACCATGGTGACGCACAGTCTCCTGCCGCGACCGCTGCTTCCCGTCGGCGCCCCTTTCGGACACCTGTCGCGCTTCCGTCCACTCGCACACCGCCTCTCCCCGCAGCGCAATCGTGAGTTGGCTCAGGTGCAGCTCTCCCTCCAACACGAGCACACACTGTCCACTCACCACTTCTCCGCACCGATACGTGGCGTCGGGTTTGTCCAAAACGACGGCAAAAGTCTTTAATTTCATCTCAAAATGATTGCAAAAATGAGTGAAAAACGACTTTTATAATGAAAACAATAATAATAATTACAATAATTGTTTCACAATAGAAATGCAATAAAAGTTTAGATAAAATAACAGTAATTTTCACAAACTTTATTTCATATCTCGCAATGCAATAGTGAGACACGTGTCGCCATCTGTGGACACGTGTGCGAAGTGAACGCTAGGAGTTGTGTTGTCGCGCGAGAGATGGCGCTCCGGTTTTCGCGAATTTCTCGACAATCAAACTCTTCGCACATTCTCTCCATAGAAACGAGACTTTGATTTACATTTTTATTGTTGTGTTTCTCGAGAATGAGTTCACAGTTTTGATAAACATTTCAACAATTGAAGCGTTTTATGGCAAATGAATGCAAAGTCACGTCACGTGACTCGCAGTGAGTGTTGTGCTCGAGATGTGGTCGAGAAGCGCTCTCAACGACTCTTTGTCCGCCATTTCAGAACAAATCGGCGGAAAATTTGCGACAATTTCTCAAAATGTGAACAAAAGTCTGCTTTCGGGTAAAAAAGGAAAGAAAAACGAATGAAAAACGTCTAATAAATGCCAATTGAATGAAAGGTTCGGAAGATTTGGACCGAAAAGAGACCACAAGAAGACATCTGGAGGCGGAAGTGCTTCTGCTGAGACGCGAGCTCTCTCTTCGGGACGCACCAGAGGTTTGTGACCGCTTCGCCGCGATTGCGCAATGAATGAGAGCCACACCTGTAATGACACCTGAAATTACATGAATTACAGGTGTTTTGCAAATGAGTTGTAATTCTGAATGAAAAACACTTTTTGTGAGATTTTGTGTCAATTGTTGTCAACCAAAGCGTGTCTGAAAGCCACAGCCCTTCCGCCGCGCGGCCGCCCAAAGCCCATTGGCTGTGTGCCAACTCTGACTCCGCCCCTCATTGTTTGCTCTCCCTTTAGTTGTCTGAAGTGGTTTTGGACGACACTCGCGACGACAGCGACGCTCGAGACGACAGTTTGGACGCAATCAGTCGTGAGGCGCGACGTCTCGTCTCTTTGGACGCCGAGTTGGAGAAGACGTCTCGCGATAGAGACCATTGGCAGCGATTGTTGGAAATCGAGGTTTGATTGAAATTCAATCCAATAATGAAAGTCACGTTCGTTTGCATTAAACTTTGAACTTCCGGTGAAACGCGAGACGCGCTCGAGCTCTGACTCGACCAACGCTCGCGCTCTGCGCCCGTATTGTTGTCGCGAACGTGACTTTGCGTTGAATTCACATTTCATTTCGTGTTTCATTCGCAGAACGAAAGGCATTTGGAGTTGACGTCGAGTCTCGAGGTTTGCATTCATTTCATTGTTTTATCTAATCTTTAGAAAACTCCCGAAAAGTAAACAAAAGCGAGTTTTCGTTGTTTTCTCGCGCTTTCCTCTATTGTCGCTTAGAAACGCTTTTTAAGCCATTTTTCGGGCGTTTTCTCGCGCTTTAGAAACAATTGTCGGAAAAAGCGGAAGAAATTCGAGAATTGAATGAAAAGTTATTTGAAATCGATTTTCAAAATCACGAGAATTTGCAGAAAATCATTCAAATTAAAGACTCATTGAAAGAAAGAAACTCAGAATTGGAGAAAAGAGTGAAAGAATTCGAAGAAAAAGCGGAAGAAAAGGCGGAACCACTCGTGACGTCATCGCTGGTGCGCGAAGAACCCGAAGGCCAGTCGCGCGAAGTGCAGGAATGGGAGCGAGAGGTAAGCGATTGATTAGTATTTATTAATTAGCGCTAAATCGCGACAATTGTTAGAAAAGCGTGAAAAACGAAGAGAACTTGAAACTAAAGGAAGAGTTGTTTCGTTTGAGAAAACATTTGGTTTCAATTGAGGAGAACTTTACGCAAGAAGTGGTCGCGAGCGCAGAGAAAGAGCGCGAAATCCGAACCAGAAATGAATGCCTCGAACAGCAGTTGCGGGAAATGCGCGAAAAGGACAGCGCGTTCGACAACACTCTCCGGTAGTATTGTTGTAGTAGTGATGACGTCATCGCCAGTACTGACAGTGATTGATTGACAGGAGCGCGCGCACGGAGCGGGACATCGCGCGCAACGAGTGCTCGCGTCTGGAGGACCGCGTGCAACAATGCGCGGCGTCGGTGGCGAACCTCCAACTCGTGATCGAACAGATCCAGCGCGAGAACGAACGCAACAACAGCGACGCCGAGCGCAGACACGGCGTGGAGTTATTGGTGGAGCGGAAGCGCGTGGACGACGCGTTGGAAGCGCTGCGGAGGGCGGAGGCGCGCGAGGCGGAGGCGAGGGAGGCGTTGGGCGCGGCCGCGCGCTTGACCACGTTGTTGGACGAGAACGAGCGGAAGAACGAGACGCTGAAGCAATTTGGTAACTTTCTTGTTGTGCGCATGACTAGTGATTGTTGGGCGACTTGTGGTTTAATCTCATTTGGTAACTCTGGGCAATTGTTGTCTCGAGACTCCAGAGTGTCATTTGGGATTCGAACCAAAACGCGCCGAAACCGCAAAGACTGTTGTATTGTTGTCTCGGGAGTGAGTATTACATCAGGTACTGGTCTTGAGTTCGAATCCAGTATTCGATGTAAAGACTCGCTCTCTGGACGCCATTCGATCGCCATTTTGTGTCACGCGTTGTTCCCATTGTTGCTCTCATTCTCGTTGTTTTGAATCTCGATTCCTCCCAAAAGCGCAACAAAAGGAAACGAGAATCGCGAGTCTCGAGAAGAGCGTCGACGCGTGGAAAGTGTCCAGCGAAGGCAAAGTGGACAAACAAGTGGTCAAATCCCTGCTCTGCGGCTACTTCTGCGCCAAAGACGAGCAGAAGCCGGAAGTGCAGCGCTTGTTGGCGCGCGTTCTCGACTTCAACCAACAGGAGATGGACAGATGCGGCATTCACATCGGCCGCGCGCGTCCCAGCGGTCAGTGCTCACCACTTGACCACCGCTTGACCATTAGCTCACTTTTGTTTCGTTCAACAGAAACTTCCGATTCTTTGTCCCAAAAATTCGTTCAATTCCTGGAAAAAGAATCCCAAAAACCAAAGACTGAAAAGAATGCGGAAATCGCGAGAAATCTGTCCAAAACTCTGATCCAGAGTTCGCAACGAAACCCATTCCTGACGCAAACCCAGACGCCGTCTGTCGGCCTTTCCTCGCAATCGCAGTCCGCCATCGGTTCGCGTCACTCGTCCGCCAACTCCTCCACAGACAACCTATTGTTGGCGCCCGCAGTGACGCCGCTTCTCATCGTCTCCACGAATACTCATTTGAATCCTCAATAAATCCTTTATTTTTCACTCTTTTTCCCATTTTTGCTCTAATTTTGGCAAAATATAACTGAAAATAAACACAATGTTTAACATAAGGCAGAATTGGCGCCAAATTCGAACCGAAACTCCGCGTATTTGTAGCCGCAGAGCGCGAGCAGAAACGAGAGCCACACCGCGGCCGCCATTGTCATCACCAAACGCTTCCCATGCAATTCCCAGAACGTCTTCTCGCGTTTCCAACAGCCGAACAGATCCTGAAAGCGAAGACTCTTTTCCACGGATTAGAAGCAAAACATTTCGCGAAATATTTACGAGAATTCGAGTTTCGGTTCCTTTGAAGTCGAAAATCGCGATTTTGGTCTCATTTTTGGCCAAAACGAGGATTTTATTCGTTTTTCGCCAAAAGAAAGCGCTTTTGAATTCGTATTTCGTTTCTCGCGAACCAATGCTTGGAATTGAAAAATACGGCGAAAACTGCTTTCCATTCAAACGGATTCTGAATTTCAGAGCTTTTGAAGAGTTTTTGTCGAATTCAACGAATAGTTGATATTTCGGCCAAAAAACGGTCTTTTCGTCGACTAATGACTCGTTTTGTGAATACTTTTCGCACAAAAGGAACGCATTTTCGTTCGAATCGAACGTAAATTTCGTGACATTTTGACCGAAATCTCGAATAAAGATTTGATATTCGAAAAGATAATCGAATTCTAAATGAATTTCATTGATATCTGAATCAAAAAGCGAACAAAAATCGGAAATAATCTCTCCTTTAATGCAAACAAAGAGAAAGAGAAGCGAAAAACGCATTTCTCAACAATGATTACGTCTCCAAACACGAGAAGTCCTCACAAACGACGCCTCTCTTGTCCAATGGGAGCAACGGATTGGAGCCCAAAGAGTCGGTGACAGTGACGTCACCGTCGCTCTCGATGGAAATGATTTCGTCTTTCGTGAAAATCATTTCGTTTCCGTTGGGAAACACGACAATCGCCTCCATCTCGTTGATGGCGTACGCGCTGTCGTCCTGTCCCACACTCACAGCCGTGCCGTCACTCGTCGTCACATTCACATAGAGCTCCGTCGAGAACGTGAGCGACAGTCCGCCCGGAGCCGTCACCGTAACGGTTCCGTCCGGCAGGATGTTTGTGGTGCCGCCGTCACGACCGCCGACTGCGGGAGAGGGAGAGAGGGTTAAAGGCGATTAAGAGCGGCGTTGCACTCACTGGTGGTGTCGGTGGGAGTGATGAGCACTTGAGTGCCGGTGCGCGCGCGGATCTCTGCGTGCAGTCCTTCCGTCACAATCACTTCCGACTCGTTTTGGTGCATCTCTGCAACAGAACAACAAACTTAGTACATCTCTAACTCTCGCTCTCTCGCACGCACTGACCGGCGCCGTGGGAGTCGACGGGGATGAGAGTGTTGTGGCCGTCGGCCGTCGTCACGACCATCCCGTACTCCGAGGTGACCACAACCGTGCCGTCGGGCAGAGACACAGACATTCCCGACTGGTTGAAGACGACGCGCGCGCCGTCGCTCATGTTGAGCATCACGTTCTTGTCGACGGAGATCGCGACGAGAGTGCCGTCGGGCAGAACAGTGTTCGACGAGCCGTCCAACAGCAGCGTCGCCTCCGTGCTGTCCAGAGCCGTGATTCGCGACTCTTTGCCCACAATGATGGCGATTGTGGTGCCGTCTGGCGTCGAGATGACGGTCGGAATCGCCGGCTCCTGGATGGGCGCCGCCGACACGGAAGTGCCGTCCGGGAGACTGACCACGACGTTGAGCGCGCAGTCGAGGTCTATGTTGGTGTCGGAACAGGGGGGCGGCGACGAGTCGTTGGCCGGGCTCTGCAGCACAGAGAGCGCCGGGATGAGCCACGGCGGCATGATGAAGGTGGTCTCGTTGAAGTCGCGACACATCGGCAGAAGAGGTTTCGGCAGAACCGCTTTGAAGTCTTCGTTGATCGCCATTCTCTCCATCGCCTCGTCTTCTGCCGCTGTCCTCACCTCCAGAGCCGTGATGTTGGAGAGCGCGTGCAGTTGAGAGGTCTGCGGAATGCAGAAGAACAGGTTCGGGCAGTAGAGCACGTATTGGCCGTTCGGGTCGACCGCAGCGCCATCTCTCATCTGCGAGTATTTCAGGAACCGATTCAAAGACAAGGCGTTTATCGGAACCAAAAGACAGAAGTAGTCGCCGTTGGCCGGAGAGCCGGGCGGTCCGGGAGGGCCGGCGGGCGTCTGCGTGTCGCTCGAGGTGGCGCTCGTGGCGGCGGCCGTTGTGGTCGACTCGGGAGTTGCGGTGGTCTTCGTCGTAACGATTGGTCGAAGCGTGGGAAGCGTTAGTGACGTCACGGGTTTGTGAGTTGGGATGAAGTTGGAGGCGACGATTGGCGCGTGAATTGGCGTCAAAGGCGGCAGCGATTGGACGACCGGCGGTTTGAATTGCGATGACGTCATGGGTTTGTGAGCCAATTGGGGAACGGTTTGCGGAAAACAGTTGGTATTCTTGTAACCGGTGATGAAGAAGGACCTCTCGGCCAGATTCAGAGTTTCGGTTCGCTTCACGTAATGACAGGCAGTGATGACGGCTTTCTGGCCAATCATCTGTCCGCAGAAGAAGTAAATGGAGCCCTTCTTGAGGTGCACTCCGCACGCGTTGGTCTCCGCGGGCGTGAAGACGAGCGACGTCTTGATGGCGGCGAGCGATGCGGGCGTGAATCGGAGGACGCGGACGGGTCTGAACTGATAGGAGGCGTACGTCGTGTTGTGCTGAGTGTGGGAGTACTGGCGGTCGGAGCGCACGGACGCCTCGACGCAGAAGTCGGAGCGGCAGAAGTCGTTGGCCACTCTCTCGTCGTAGCACTTGGCGGACGAGCAGCGGAACGACAAGTGTCGCAATTGACACAAACAGCCGAACGCCGAGACGACACTCGACGACAGCAGAGACGCCAACAGAAGCCACGAATTCATTGTTGGAAATGAGAAAAAAAGCGAAACACGAATTCTCTTTTGAACGATAGAAACAACTGTTTTGGATTTTGGGTCAATTTTTATTGCCTTTAAATAGAACTCAAAAAACATTTATTTTTCCTGTTTCTGAACATTGAGTGCAGATCTTCGCGCAGGCATCAAATCCGTGTCAAACTCGTCGTCCGTGGCGTTCGCCTTCCAGTTCTGCGGTCTGTTCGCGCCGTAGCCGTGATATCCGGCGAACTGTTCGTAATTCACGTTAAACTCGTCTTTCGTTCCGCTCTTTTGCTGTTTGTCGAAAATGCGCGGAGAATTCGGTTTCTGTTGAACCGCTCTCTGAGTGGTCGTCAGCTCTTCCTCGTAGTCGTAGTCCAGTGTTGTCGCCGTCGTTGTCGTCGATCGCGTTCTCGTCGCCCGCACTACCGGTCTCTCGTACGCCGGCCTCTCCTGCGGCCTCTCTTGCGGTCTGTCCTGTGGTTCCCTCTGGTGTTCAGTCCAGTACTCGTTTTGTGGCCGACTTTGCGGTCGTGACGTCACTTCTGGTCTCGCGCTTTGATTGGGTTTTCGAATCGGAGCGTAGTTGTCGTTCGGCGGATACTTCGCGGGTCTTTGGCCGCCATTCGGTCCTCTGTTCGGCGGACGCTCTCTTTGGGGGAAAGCGTCCTCTTTGATGGGTCGGATCCCTTCCTCCAGATCCGGCAATTCTGCGGGGATTTGCGGGAAAACGGGTTCTTTGAACTGTTGTTGTGGTCTTCCGTTCATTAATTGCTCGTTTTTGATGTCATTCTTGTTCGGTCTCTCTTTGAACGGCTGTTCCGCCAAATCGGGAATCTCTGCCAAATGGTCGGCGAAAACGGGTCTCTCGACGGGTGGCGCCATCTCTGGTCTGTTTGGCGGCAAATGCGGCGACACTTCGATGGGTTTGGAATTGTGGTTCACTTGCGAGAAGTTGGTCAGCATTGGGAACATGTGAAGCGCCGACTGCACGTTTGGGTTCAGCTCTGAATCAAAATAATCATTATTCACGCAATTCTCATCATTCATTTCATACCGGGTTTTGGCGTCTCTTTCGCCGGTCTTTGCGGAGAGTTTTGGCCGAAAACCATCGCTTGGTTTGGGTTATAGTTATTGTTGGGTCGCGACGGCGGCGCCGCCTGTTGTGGCTTCGGGTAGTTGTGGGGCGGAGGCGGCGGTCGCGGACTCGGAGGCGCTCTCTGCGGACTGTGGTTGGCGTAGGCGGGCGGCGGAGATTGCGGTCGTTGCGGCGGTCTCTGCACATAGGACTGGGTGTCGATGTTTTGGTCAAAACAGTTGACTTTCTTGTATCCCGCGAGGAAGAAGATGCGTTCGGCGAAGGACAGGGACTCGAACTTCTTGTTGAAGTCGCAAGCCGTGACCCACGCGTTCGGCCCCAACGCCGTGCCGCACAAGTAGTAGATGCCTTTGGACTTGATGTCGACGCCGCAGTCGTCGAGAGGCGTGAGGAAGAGGCCCGACTCGATGGCGTCGAGCGACGACGGCTTGTAGCGGAAGTAACGCACGGACTTGAAGTTGTAGAAGGCGTTGCTCACCGAACCGTTCGCGTCGTCGATGAACGACTTGTCGCTCTTCACCGACGCCTCCAGACAGAAGTCGGCTCTGCAGTAGTCTTTGATGAGCTGCGAGTCATAGTTGGCCAGATTCGCCAACGCCTCCCACCCGCCGCCTTTGGCCGCCGTGGAGGACGACGCGTTGTTCTTCGGACAGTTGCACGAAAGCACTTCCGGCGCGAAGAAGAGGAGAAGAAAAGCTCCGATTTTAGACATTGTTGTCATGTTTCGAAAGAAATGGGAAATAAATGGAAATTCATTTGCAATAAAAAAATGTGTTTTAAATGTGTTTTTGAAAACCATTACTCTTTTGGTTCAACGCTCTGAAAACCCGATTCGAAAACACATGTCGCGAGGAGGCGAGAAACCCGCCACAGACCCCTTTTGGGTGCGCCTCCTTGTCGCCCCTCTTTGACTTTGAATTATTATAAATGTTAAGGAATTTGTTGTAATTATAATTGAATTCTGGGTTTTCATTGTTTGATTTAAAAGTATTTCTCTTTTCTTTCTGTTCTTTGTTTCGGAATTTTTCTCAATTCTTGAGTTTCATTGAAAGCGAGAATCAATTTCAAGAACTCTTTGACGAAAACTCTTGAAATGGAAAACAAAGACCAAAATTGGGTCAAAAGAAAAATGTGCGAAAAATTGAACTGATTTTGGATTTCGACCCAAATTTCGGAAAACATATAAATATTCCCAAAAATTCATTTCGTATTGAAATGCAAAAAAATGATTCTTTTAATAGTTTTGTGGATTTTTGAGACGTTTTTCACAACAGTTTCCGCGGAATGCGTTTGCGGTGAAAGTGGACAACCAATTGATCGCAGGTTTTGTCACTTTGACTTCGGGTTCAGAGCTCTGGTCACTTCTGAAGCGATTCCTGACGAAGAATGGATGCGTTTTGAAACAAATGTCTCAAAGTTTTACCGAAATTCTCTGAAGAGAGAAAACGTTTCGATTTATTCCAAAAACAACGAATGTTTGCTTTCATTAGAAAAGGGAAAAGAATTCGTTGTTTTTGGAGAAGAAATGAACGGAAAATGGGTTTCAAGTGAATGTGATTTCACGAGAAATGTCGAGAAATTATCGCAATTTGAATCACAATTCTTGGAAAACGTGACCGAAAACGAGTGTCTTTTGAAACGCGGCAAAAACCAAAAGAAACCCGTTTTGGAAACGAAAGCGACGAAGAGTGCGAAACAGAGCACCAGAAGAGAGGAACCGACGACGACGACGACAGCGAAGACGACGAAACGCGTGAAACAAACGGTGAAAACGACAAAAACAACGGAAACGACGGAAAAGCCTTTCGAACCCGTGAAACCTGTCCACATCTCAGAGATTCCCGTTTGGACTCAAAGAACAACAGAAACGCCGCCACAAAAGCCACCGAAAGAGGCTTTGGTTCCGAATCCGCCGAAACCCGTCTTCAAACCGCCAAAACCTGTGAACAAACCGCCGAAACCTCAACCGCCGCCCAAACCTGAGTCCCAGCCCTCACACCCACCACATCCGCCGCCGCCGAAGCCAGAATCACATCCGCCACCTCATCCCGAGTTCGTGATCCCTGCCCTCCCGGAGCTCCATTTCGACCCGATTCCGTCCATTCCTGAACTCCATTTCCCGCCGTTTCCCGAAATACCAGACATTCCTTCGCTGCCGGAGATCGCGTTTCCGCCCATTCCCGGAGTTCCCAGTTTGCCAGAAGTGCACTTCGACCCGTTGCCAGAGTTGGACCCCTTTCCCTTCCCGCCGCTGCCCGAACTCGTGATTCCGGAGTTCCCGCCGCTGCCGGCCATTCCTTCGGCGCCGGAACTGTCGCCTCACAACTACTCGCCGACTCCTGAGCCACAAGAATACGATATTCACGCGAATAATCAATAAAAGCAATCATTTGTCATGAATTTATTTCTCTTCGAATTGAATGACAGTTCGAATCGTTTTTCCGGCCTTCAGAACGTCGAAACCCGCGTTGATGTCTTCCAAACGGATCCGATGTGTAATCAAGTCCTTGATCTCCAGTTCCCCCGCACACAACATGTCCACCAGGCGCTGGTTCGCTTCCCTCGGCTTCATGTTCCCGAAGTAGCCGCCGGCCACGTGTCTGCCCTCCAGCAGTTCGGCCACAGAAGTGGTCACTGCGTTGCCCCTCTTCCCCAACCCGATGACAGTGAGGAAGCCCCACGGCGTCAGCGACTTGAGCGCGCAGTCCAGCACTTGTTGGTTCCCAATGCAGTCGAACGCGAACTCAATGCCTTTCGCGCGCAGAATCTCGTCCAACGGTTTCTCTGCAAACAATCCAAACTTAATATCCGTTTCTCGCGACTCAGCGCTCACCCAATTGGTTGGCGTTGAGGAACTCATGGCAACCCGTTTGGCGCGCGATCGCCTCCTTCTCCCCATTGATGTCGACGCCAACAATGAGTTCTGCGCCCGCATCGCGACATCCCATCACAGCCGACAACCCGATCGCTCCCAAACCCCAGACCGCGCACTTCGCCCCTTTGTGCACGCGCGCGATGTTTGTGGCGCTGCCATAGCCCGTGCCAACCGCGCACCCGATGATGGCCGCGGAGTTGAGGTCCGCCAAAGGGTTGAGTTTGGCCACTTGCGAGTCGCGCATCACACTGTACTCGGCGAACGTGGATGTTCCCGCTGTCCAATCACAACGTTAGGTGTGTTTCAATCATTCAAATACGAACCCAACGACAGGATTGGCTGTCCCTTCACTTCCATTCTCGTCTCGTGATTGTCGTGATAGAGAGTGGTGTAGAAATTGCCGGCCGAACAGAAGTTGGTCGCGGGATTCTTGCAGAGCGCGCACTCTCCGCACTCAGGCATCCACATTGCCATCACTTTGTCGCCGACGCCAACGCTCGTCACGCCGGCGCCCACCGACTCCACGACGCCGGCGCCCTCGTGTCCCAACACCACGGGTTTGCCCTCGAAGTCGAGCGCCAAATCCGTTTTCCAGCCCCAAACGAAGTGCGCGTCCGTCGCGCACAGTCCCGCCGACACCATCCGCACTCTCACCTCTCCCTTCTTCGGCGGCGCGACTGTTATCTCTTCCACTGTCAGCGGTTCGCCTTCTTTCCACAGAACCGCTGCTCGACATCTGATTGGCTGAAAGACAGTGACTGTAATGACTGACAACAACTCTCGAGCCTTACCTTTCCTTCGGTCGACATTTTTGTTGAACTCTATTCAGAGTTTCAATTCTTTTATACCTTTTCGTAATCTTATCTTTGATTGCATTTCACTTGTAATTTACAACTCGATTATTTAATCGCAAACTCAAGGCCATAGAGAAGGCCGTCAAACAGGAATACAATTCAAACTAGTTTTCCATATTCAATAAATATATTCAATAATTATTTAATATTGGTTTCCATTTAAATACAATTAAATCTGTTTTTGAATAATTGATTGAAAACTGAATTCACTTTTCAATCATTTCTATAAATCTGTTCACAAATGGAAACACAATTCATGACAACAATAAAAGCCATAATTATTATCGAAACAAAATTCAATGAAATCTCAAACACTTTTTGATAACAATTTTATTGACTCTTAAAACGCTTTTAATCTGTTTTACAACACATTTCATACAAAACTTTATTCTCCTTTCTTTTCCCAAACATCTGTCGGCCAAACGGGTTTCACCGGTCGTCGCGACGGCTTCTTCGGTCGCGTCGGTCTCTGCTCTTCGTTCGGCCGATGATTCGGTTTCCACTGATTCGGTCGTTCACTCTCTTGCGGTCTTTCATTCCATTCCTCTTGAGTTTGCGGACTGTTAGCCCATTGTTGCGCTTCTTGTGGCCATTCTTCTTGTGTTTCTTCCCAATCGTTGCTTTGGTGTTGAAATGGTTTTCCCGGTTTTGACCAATTAGTCTCTTCTTCCTCTTCCTCTTGAATCCATTGCGGTTTTGTTGGCTTAGGTTTGGGTCTATTCTGCGGCGGTTCCGACCATTCACTGCTTGGACGCGGTTTTGGTCGCGGTTTCGGACTTTCGGACCAATTATTGTTCGTTTCGTCCATTTCTGGCCATTCATGAGATTCCCATTCGTTGTCTGGTTTCGGTTTTTGGGGTTTTTGCCAGTTCTGCCAATTCGGGACATTTTCCGGCTTCTTGGGCTTTTGCGGCCGATTCCAGTCTTCGGGGTCATTGAACTCGCTCTCCGGCCATTCGCTGTCCGGTCGAGGCTTTTGGGGTTGAGTCCAAAGAGGGGGAAAGCGGTGATCGCTTTGTGGCTCCATTTGCGGTCTCTGGGGTTTAGGTTTCGGCCGTTTTTGCGGTCTTTGCTCTTCATTCCAGGAAACCGGTGGTCTGTTGTATTCGTCGGGCTTTTGTTTCATTGGTCGCGAATTGGGTTTATTTTCGTTCATTTGATTCGGATTTTTGGGTCTTTTCGGTCTTTGGTTCATATTTTGGTTTCGATTTTCGGGTTTTAAAACTAAAATTTTGGGCGAATTCTCGATCAAAACCTCTTCTTCTTCCGCTTCTTCGGCAGACAAACAGTTCTTTCGCGACAAATCCAAAGCCAAAAACTCGCTTTCAGTTGGCGTCAAATCGGAAACTCGTTTCACGAAAGAACACAAACTGACGATCGGAATGGAAGACGACTCGTCGTAATGGCCGAACACAACCACTTCTTCTCCGGCTTTCAAATCCACTCCGCATTCAGACTCCAGAGAAGGAGAATACACGTAAACTTCGACCGAATTCATGTCAATGATGTCTCTGTAAACGTGACTTATATTGAGCCCAAATCTGGTGTATTTGGGTCCCTCTTGATCGCCCCACAACTGATCCGCTCGGCCCACAGTCACCACTGCTTTCCATCCGAAGTCAAAGTCACAGAATCCTGCGATCAGAAGGTTGTTGTCAACCGATTCCAAACATTTACAGCCAAACGACACCTGAATTATTGAAGCGATAAAAATAAGTATTTTCCAAACCATGTCTTCATTCAAACTTTCACTTCAATTATGATTTGATTTTTGTTTTAAAAAATAATTTCTTCATTATTTCACAATTTGAACCAAATTTTCAGAAAAATGCTGTTTTTTCTAACCATTTGTGAACTATTTTTAATAGACTTTTGAAACGAATTCACTTTTCAACACTTTTTTAAAAGTTCACACATTTTTGCCTTGAATTGAACTCAAAATACTTTTTCACTTTTCAATCAGAAATCAGTTTAAATGAAAACATGTTTTTTGTAAATATCTTTATTGAAAATCTTAAACAATAATCTCATTCAGAATCGGCGGCAAAAAACTTGGTCATAGTGTCGGCGAACGTCGCGGAACACGACTCTTCCAATTGTCGCAATCGACTGCAACTACACGAATACGAGTCCGCTTTCGGTGTCTTTGGCTTTTTCGACGACTTCGGCGGCCTTTCTATCGGCTCTCGCGGACTATTCTCCGACCATTCCGTCCATTCAGTGGCGCCGTTGTCCGCCGTCTCAATGGCCTCGTCTTGATATCCGGGATACGAGACTTCCGGTCGGTTCGGTTTGGCCGGTCGTCCGGGTTTGTCGTCGGGTTTGGGTTTGTGTTTGTCGGGCCAATTGGGTCCCTGAGGCCACCACTCGGGTTCAGGTTTGGACGGCTTTTGGGGTTTATTCGGTGTCTCCGGCCAATCAGTCCACTCGGGTTCGGCCTGTGGTGGACGCGGTCGCGAGGGCTTCGGTTTTTCGGGTTCTGGTTCTTCGGATTCGTTCCATTCGGGATAATCGGGTTCCGAGGGTTTTGGCCGATACGCGGGTCTCTCGTCTTCTGACTGTCCGTTCCATTGATTCCACTCCTGGTCTGGTTTTGGTGGTCTTCCCGAAGGCTTTGCCGGTTCTGTCCACTGATTGTTCCACTCTTCAGAGTTTGGTCTCTCTTTGGGACGACTGGGTTTGGGCTGATCTGCTTCCGCATTGTTGTCCCATTGGTTCCATTCGGTGTCTGGTTTTGGTTTCTGCGGTTTCGACTGTTCCGACCATTCAGTCCATTCGGAGTCATCGGTCGGCGTCTGCGGCGGCTGTGGTCTCGGTTTTGACGGTCGATTCGGTTTCTCTTCATCCCAACCGAACTGTTGTTCAGATTGTTGTGGTTTTTGCGGACGATTCGGTTTATTCTCGTTCCACGAGTTTTGCCACGAATTCTGCGCCCATTCTCCGCCTTCGGCTCCCGTTTGCGGCTTGCGTTGAGGTTTCGGCTGTTTTTGCGGTCTCTCCGCACTCTGGGGTCTCTCTTGCGGCCATTCCTTGGGTTTCTTGGCTCTCGCCGGCGGTCTTTGCTCTTCAGACCACTCTTGTTGTGGTTTCTGATCGTAACCCCAGTCTTGAGACGAACATTGGGGCAAATCTTGTAACGAAGGAATTGAACACAGATTGAAATCTTTGCCGTTTTGTTGATTCGGTTGTCGATTATAGCCGTCGGAATGCGTTCCTTGATTTCCCCATCCCTGAGGCTGTGCTCCCGATCCCGGCTTTCCCATTGGCCAACGAATCTTGTCGTCTTTGAATCCTTTTAATCCCTTGTCTTTCAGCGGTGGCGGAGTGTGAAGAGGAAGGTGTGGTAAACCGGGTTTCGTTGTCGGCATCACTACATGTGCCGGCGCTCCGAACTCGAGCGCCGGAACCATTTCTCCCGCCTCTTGTTTCGCGTCCACCAATTCCAACGGCTTCTCTTCGGAAACTACTTCTTCCGCATTACTCGCCATTTCGTGGCTCTGCTCTTCGGCGACATTACTCGTGACCACGAGTTCTTCGGCCGAAGTGACCGCTTCTGGTTCGACCGGAACTGCGTTCTCAACAATGGCTTCGTTTTCGTCTCTTTTTGTGCGGATTTTTGCCTCAAATTTCTCATTCGTTGTGTTTTTCTCATTGAAAGGCGAAACTTCCGTTAAATTCAAACCAATCAAGTCTTTCGTGTATTCCAACTTATTCGTCATTCTCATCGATCCCTGGCCTCCCGGCCCGCCGTGTCCGCCGTGGCCTCCCATTCCCGTTCCCAACGCCGTCCCCCCGTTTCCGCCCGGCCCTCCCGCGCCCCCCAGGATTCCGTGCGCTCCGATTCCTGGCAAACCTCCGTTCCCTCCGATTCCGCCCAAACCAGGCATTGACGGTATGAACGGCGGTCCCGGGAATCCGGGTCGGGCCGGCATTCCCGGCATTCCGGGACTTCCCGGTCCCGACGGTCTGAACAGTCTCTCCTGACAGTCGATCCTTCGATAGGCGCCCATTAGGAACAGTCTTTCGCCGACATTCAAGTCGTCGATGACTTTAGTGAACGCGCATTCGCTGACCACTGGTTTGCCGTCTGTCTTGTCGTAGAAGCCAAACATCACCACAAATCTGGTTCGCGTCAAATTGATGGCACACTCGCCCGGAGTGTAGACAAAGCCGTCGCTGAAGACGGATGTGTTGCGCGAGTCTTTGTACACTTTGGTGACGCGAACGTCGTATCGGTTGTACTTCACATTCTTCGAGTCCTTGAACTCGACGTCCGACTTGTCTGAGCGGACGAACACTTTCCACGCGAAGTCGTCGTAACAATAGCTGCGGATAATCAGCGGTTCGTTCAGATTCTCTCCCGATCTTAACATACAATTACAAGAATCGCATGTTTTCGTCAAAAACACGACAATTAGTGATAGAATTAATGCGAATCGAGAGTCCATTTCTCTCTCTTTTGCAAAAAACAAATTTCTCTCGATTTCCAAAATACGTCTCTCTTTTGGATTTAACGCAAAAAGTTTACAATTTTTTTCCACTTTTTACACATTTATGTCTCGCATCTGTGGTTTTGCATTAAATCGCTGCTTATTATGGATTTAGTTTTCAGTTCTGCCATTAATTGGGTCTTTGATCTCACGACAGAACCAGAAGTTCAAAGAACTAAACCTTTCATTCATTATAATTTGGTTCATTTAAAACTGATTTTTGCACACATTTTAACCTAAAATGAACTTATTTTACGGAATATAAGAATTTAGAAATAGTTTTACTTTAAATACGAAGAATTCAAAGAAAATCTCATTCAAAACTCATTCAATAATACAAATAAACCTTCAGTTCAACTGAAAAATAAACATTTAATTTTAATTGAATTGATTTTCCTTCAAAATTATTACATTTATCAGAATATCTCTTAATCGCTATTAATTTCAAATTCATTTGTTTCTATAATGTGTGAGAATTTTACACAAAATGTTTATTTCAGCCTTTTATCAAACGAAGACATAATTAGCAAATCTTTATTGCGAACAAAAATGAAAAATAATACAAATGTTTAATACAAGCGACGATTCACTCCATGTCAATATTGTCCTCTATTTTATCGCATCTTCCGTTTTCCTCTCTATATATTTGTGTCTCTTTTGGCTTCAAAACCAACACTTTCTTCAAAACAGACTGAAAGTAAGCGATCGGAGACTCGAAGAGAACGGCGAAAGCAAAACCAATCAAATACGAGAAGAACACTGTATAGCAAACCATTGCCCAAACACTGGACGGGAAATTGTCGGGCAATTGTCTTCTGGACGCCCAAAATGACCACACGATCCAAATATGCGTTAAATACACACAATATGTGAGACGCGAGAGAGGCGTGAATGCGGACCACGAGAGGAAACGGTTCACCAAATCTCCGTTTCCCGATAAACACATCCAAATGACGGCACATGTGCTCAACGCCCAAACCACTCGAGTGCTCGGATAGAGAAATACGGCAATCAATCGGTTGTTGGGAGCGCCGAACGTCCAGTAATAGGTGTCGTAAATGGAGATGACGTAACCGACACTAATTGCCGACCAAAGTAACCACTTCTGGCTCTGTTAGAGAGTTTGAGTTAAAACCGCAACACAATGCAAGAGAGATGTACCTGTGTGAGTTTGACCAAGCGCATTTTGTACAAATAATAGCCAAACGCCAACCCAATGAAGTAGACGGAGGCGTGAGGCCAGGGCTGCCAATACACGTATTGAAGCCATTCGTTCATGAAATAAGACCTGAAATGAAACTCGAGTTCAGGAAATGAAAACATTGTTTGCTTTTTACCCGAATTGAGTGCTCACTCTTCCCGGCGTGAAATCCATGACGAAAATAAGTGTCGAAACGATTAATATGGAGACGAGTATCAAAACAAAGTTGACAATTAAACCGAAACGCGGTTTCTTGAGAATCGCCAAAATCACCACAAATGACAACAAATGGAACTGCATGTCCACCGACAGGAACCAAGTTGTTCCGATGCACTGCAAACACATGATTACAAACCAATTGTTCTCTCTCTCTCTCTCTCTCTCTCTCTCTCTCTCTCTCACCATATGTTTAGAGTCAATGAAGTTGTGAATGAACAAGAGGTTGTGCCACCAATTGGTATAACACGTGTCGATCCTCTCAGACATGAATCGGTTCCAAACGGGTCCCGAATTCGTGAGCGGAACCAAAGTCGTCAGAAGAATAAAAACGGCCATTAGTGGCAAAAGTCTGATAACTCTTTGGCAAACATAAGATTGTCGATCAAAGTTCTCGAGTTTGGCTTTCGTTCGCTTAAGTGTCGTATAAGAAGCCAAAAGTCCGCTGAAAAGATAGAATGCGTTGAATTGGGAAACGAAGGGAACGGCAATACCTGAGCAGAAAGAATGTCTCGACCACTGTATGCACTTTGGAGAGCGGAATGTTCTGCCACTCATTCATCGCGTCCTTTATTCTGAACGTGTCCTCTGTTTAGATAAGTAATTAAAATTTAGTGATATTTTTATTGCAATCTCAAAAGTCATTTGAAGTTCGCGGAAAAAGTACCGGTTTTTCAACTCTCGATTAGAAATGCTTAAAAATGCTTAAAAATGTATTGAAAGCGACTTTTTTTTATCGTTTAATATCTCTTTAGCTTTAGGTTCAATAAAAGTCTTCAGAGTTTTGGACATAATTTCTATTTTTCGTTATTTCAGTGTTTATTCAATGAAATAACAAATGATTTCCGAAACAATTATTGAAAACACGAAATGATTAATAGATTAGTGAATTTCTAGCAAATCGAGTGTTTATTTAAAACAAACAACTATTGAAACAATCATTAATTATTGTATTGTTTCCAAAGTGAATATTGAACTCTTTATCGCGAAATGCATTTAACGTTCTGACGATTCGCTTCAATGCCTAACAAGAGATCTATTGTTCAAACTATTGGACAAAACTTTATTGACTTTCGAAACGATTTCTATTTTTGGCAACAATTGGTTTCGACTTAACTATAGAGCGACCAATCGGTGTATTCAATGACATGTGCGACCAGAATGTAGACCATTGTCAGCACTCGTATGCCGTCCAGACATCGGAGTTCGGGTTTATTATCGGTAGACATTATTTTCATCGCGTTTTCTTTCAGTGAAAACGCTTTCAACAGTCGTTTATATTTTGGAAATTCTGGAAACAATTGTGTTTTTATTCATTAAAAAACTCGAGACTTATTATAGCAATAAATTATAAGCCGTTTATTTAACACTTTACTGCAAAAGCGTTTATTTATTTAGTTTTTAGTTTTTATTTTCAATTGTTTTTTGTTGAAAAATAAATATTTAATACTTACTATTGAAATGAGATTTATTGAAAATTGTCGCAAATAATGAAACGATGAGAAAAAGAGCCAAAACAACGCTATAAACATGCAATTAATGATAAAAACACAAAACAATCATTAAATTTAAGTGTTTTTTAAGTAATAATTCAATTTTGTGTGAAATCTTATATTTCTTATGCAATTACCGAAAGACATAAATCTATGACAAAATTATTCAATGATATTACAATCATTGGAAGTTTAAAGTTTTTATTATTATGAATGTTGAATTAACATTACTTAAGATGATTTAATTAAATAGATGTCTATTAAAAGTATTCTTACAATTATTCAATAGACAAAATAGAAAATTCTCTTTTATATGTGATCTTTGTGTTCAAAACTGAACAATACTTACAGAGCAATCATTTGCATAGCATTTAAATGAGTTGTGGTTTTTGTGTTGCAGTCAATATTCTCGAGAATTAAACTCGAGTTTTCAAAAGCTATGACGAGAACAAACTTTAATTAAATAAACAACCATTAGTTGAATACCTCTTTGAACCAAAACGTGGACATCATTTGAATCGCATTTCTCGGGAAAACACAGTCCCAAACGCATTGAAATCAAATAGAAATAAACGGCATTTTCGGCCAATTTATTAAAGAAATTCTCACTTCTGTTGCCATTAATCAACTCTTGAGGCAAAATATTGTCCACTTTGTGGTTGAGATTAATGTGAAGAGTGGTTGGCTTTGGAAGAGGTATTCTGAGAGATATCACACAATATTTGGGACCATTTATGATGGGATTTGGTTTAATAGCCAAACACTGGTCGTAATCACCGAATTCAGTGACAGTTCCCTCGAGAAGAGCTTTCGGGGGAAACGAAGGCCACGAGTCGTACATTTGATACGCGAATAAATCCAAACTCTTTAAACCAGCGATTATTCCGTCAATACTTTTGCGACAATTGTCTGTTATTTTTGACGATTTATAAATGAATTCAACAAAACTTAAATCATTTGACATTTGTTTGGATTCAAAGTCATTAAAACTCTTTATTAATTGATTCCAATTATTGTGAATGAAATCGCTTTTAATTATAGCAAAGTTTAACACAAAAAATACGATAAAAAGTGAGTTTTTCATTGTTTGTTATATTTTAAAACTATTTTTAAAGTAAACCCACTTTTAAGTATTTATGTAACGAATATTATAAAAATATCAAATTTAATGACAAATACAGAGTTTGTGAGAAATTCCAGAAGACTTTCACTCTTTGAGAACAAGTTTAATACACTTTTAATGCAATTTATGGACTTTTCTGAACATAAGATGCTCTCAGAAAACAAGATTAATGGATATATTATATATAAATGTTAAATAAGAAGTATTGCAACTAAAAGGGAAAGTCTACTATTGGTTCAGTGGAATCGCCAAACAGGGAGAGAGCGAGAGAGAGGGAGAGAGCGAGAGGGAGAGAGGGAGAGGGAGAGAGAGAGGAACAGCATTGACAAAGTGGTGATGTGAAGGTGACATGGTTACTTCGTTTAGTTTTTTATTTAAATTTTTTCAATCATTAATTCCGATTTGCGAATAAAGCCTATTTGTTTTGAACATAATTTGAGAACAAAAAGCGTTTAATAAGTGTTTTTTCACAGTATTTTTCAATATAACTTCAATAGAGTTTGGATGAGAATTGCAATTTTGGTATTCAATCATATAATTTAAAACAAATAACTAATAAACTAATCAAACATTTCACAACATTTGTAAACTTTTTTATACAAAACAAATTCCTTATAATTTGTAAAAAAAACTATATTAAACATGGGATGAAATGAAAGACCAATTTCATGGCTGGACTTCCATGAAAACAATTGCCAAAACCATTTGAACAGAGATGTACTTAAATGTGTCTTTCGTGTACTTTATTACAATTGTAGAAATTATTGAAACGTTTATATTAAGTTCTACTAATTTATAGGTTAAGTGTCTTTAGGTTTTTACATACGATTTAAAGCCTTTTATTTTAAAGTAATTTTTTTAAAATGTTTGAAAATTGTAAAAAACTTGGCGTTTTTATTTCAAGCATTTCTACGAGCACATATCATTATAGACTTAACTTATAATTCACACAAATTGTGTATATATAAATTTATAAACTAAAGCTAAAAAGTTGTAAAATTAAGCGATCTACAGAAGATAGCGGTTTTTGAGCATTAATTTATAAGTTTATAAACTAATAATATATAAACTATACTATATTATACGAATTTTGTGTGAATTATAAGTCTATAATGATATGTGTCTACGAGTTTGTTATAATTAAAATTATTGGCATAAAACTCATGTTCAAAAATATATTAAAAAATAAAGTCTAATTTTGTATGCATTTAAAAACTTAAAATAAAAATTTGATTTTAAATGTTGAAATTATAAGGAATCAAAATTGAGATTATGTTTACGATTAAAAAAGTTTTAAAATAGTGATAAACGACTTGTGAATAAAAATTAATTCGAAAAAATATGTTTATTCAACGAAAATGAATACATTATGACAATCTTTATTCACAAATACACCCATTTTTAAGTTACTTTAGTTTCAATAATGATTACAACAATATAGTTATTTATGGAAAGACAAAAGTAAGAAATTGATCTCTCAATCAATTAATCAATTTTTATTCTTACGAATGTTTAACAAAACCAATAATTATTGTGTTTTGTATTTCGAAAACAGTATTTCTGTGATTGAATAGAAATCAAGGATAAAAAGGAGTCGTTTGGAAATGTCATTAAATAGACGCGATTGAAATCTCTGTCAACAATATGTTGATTGAGTTGTGAATTAGTGAGCGATAGAGAGATTAATATAAAGATTTTGATTAAAAAATTCTGCAAAAATATCAATTCATTAAAATGTCTACATTTTGATTGACAATTAATCCCTCATTCGTTTCAAGTTTTATTTTTTTATCGCTCAATAACTCATTGACATTACATTAAAAAGAAAAAAATTGTTTTTAATATTTAAATCAAATCTATTGTTTGGATTTTAATGATTATCGCAAAAAATATATGAAAAAAGTACACTTTTTGAAGACATTTAACAATAGATTTCATTGAAGTAATAATTTAGGAAAAATCAATTAAATCATAAGTTAAGTACAAATTATGCAAATTTTGATTTAAAAACATCAATACATGAAATATAAATAAAAGCGCAAAACTGGGTTTAAATGGAGTTGTGTTTGACTTCTTTGTAAACCGTTTTCTTCTTGTCGTCGTAGTAGTGGTACTCCAGAGGAATGAAATGAGTTTTGGGAACCGGCGTTACGGACATCGCGGCAGTGGATGCGGTCGACCCGAGGGGCGCGCCGGGAGTGGCAGTGCTGGCGGTGGCGGGAGTAGTGCTGGCATTCTTCGGGGGTTTGATTTTGGGCTTAACTTTGCATAAATAGACGCATTGATGGTATTGTTCGCGACTGAATTTGCCGGGAATGCCGTTCCCCTTGTCGTTGCACTGTTCGTACACACAGTCGTAGATCTTCCTGTATATCCGTATACGACAGCCTTCTATACAATAGTTGAGGTCTTTGTCGCCGCGGAATAACAGTCGACGACACGTTTGGATGCAGTTTTTGATTGTGTTCTCAAAACTTCGTCCACTTTTTGCGCGATTTTCGCCGATTATTGACTTCGAAGTCGTTGTCGAATGACTTTTCGCTTAAAATGCAATATTTATCAGTTTTATATCGAAATAATCTTTTCGACAAACACTAGACTTACCGACAGTCAAAACGGCGAACAAAACATAGAAAACAATTGATAAATATTTTGTCATTATTTAAAACACAAATTTAGAAAAACAATATATTTTGTGTATATTTTTCAGTTATCGTGTGTTTGTGTCGTGTTTTCGATACAAAATACTTGTTTACGAGTGAAGACTCTGAATGTGTGTCTCGACTCCTGTCTAACAGCGATTGTTATGTAATTGTGAGGACCGGTAGGCAATAGTAGGAAGTGTTGTGAACGAGAGGTCAGATGTGAATGAATAGCAACGCTCTCTCAGTGAACCCGAAAGGCGTTTCTTTGCTTTCAAAAGCACGCAAACAACTGAGAAATGACCCGATTTTGAAGGTCACCCCTATTTGTGCCACTCTTCACATCCTCTCTCAGATGTGACACTCATTTCTCGTATTATATTATACACAAAACATTATAATTATAACATTTTATTGCAAACAATTCATTTGAACTATAAATTATGAAAGATTTGAAGACAATTTAAATTATAGTAAATAAATACAAGATTTTTAAAATTAAATATTTTCATTAAAATAATTCCTTTTGTTTTTCGTCAGAAATATTCAAAAAAGTGTTTAAAATATCTCTCATTTCCTTCAACTGTTCAATCAATAACTTTAGCGGCGATTCTTCGCTCAAAATATTGTCGACTAAATAATTGCGAATAGTTTTGTATTTCTCTTCAGTCAACCCTTCGGACAGTAATTGACTTTTGGAGACAAGTCTTCTGATTCCCAGAGATAATGAATCCAAAAGTCGGGAAACACTTCTCAACGGTATTAAACTCGAAGCAAACGATACAATACTTTGATTTGCTTTGTCATTGTTTTCTTCAATCGAGCGCTTATAGTGTTGTCTAACGTTATGATTGTTTGCATATAATTGCGGCTCATTTGACGAATTAGTGTTAGACAGCGATAATCTCTGAGCCATTAAATCCCAAACAGACTCCACATCGTTGAAGCCCTCGTGAGACGACAAGTTTTGTTTCCTTAATTCAACAATTGCTGCGTTTATAGCAATCAAAACCGCAATTATAGAGATTTTTGCGAAAACTTTATTTCCAGACTTCATTGCGTTGAACACTATTATGGAAATGAAAGTTGAATTTTGCCTACAATTTGCATAATCGCAAAAGATGGCATTTATCCAGGTCATATTTTAGTGGTTTATTGAACTATAAATAAATTTGTTTTAATGGAAAAAATATAAAAACATAAAAACAAAAATAATTTCAAAAAAATTATTTAATTGAAAATTTACTCAATTTATAAAAGCGCTTCAATTTAAATGTTTTTTATTTATCATTTAATTAAAACTAAAAAATATTTGTAATCAATTTATTGTATTTTTACATCAAATAATATTTTGCTTAAATATGATTAAAAGGCTTGAGAGAGAAACTGTTGGAAGTCTTTCATTTGTTCCAACAACAGTCTGACGGGCGAGACATCACTTAAGACATATTTGGTCAGGAATTGAGCAAGGTGTTTGGCCACGTGCTTGTGCTCTGTCAACGACAACATACTAAACGCTAAATTGCTTTTGTCTACAATTTTAGTGCCGATGGAAGTGATCATGAGTAATAGCTTTGTGATGATGGTAATGAGAATATTGATCAAGAGGTTGTCGACTCCAATGTTAAGTCCGTGCGCTTCAGTGCTGTCGTCGATTCCAACGGATCCAATATTACTCAACACATCTCCGATTTCGATCAACATATCAATTGCGGGCAAACCGGGAGCACCGGTGGTTCCCGTCTCTCCTTCTGAGACCATGTGAGTGGTGTTCTCAGCGCTCATGTCTTCTTCGAGATCTTGATATAACGGTTTGTTGAGATTTAAGGTCTGATTCGTTGCCACTTGCGGTCGACTGCCGTCACTTGCGGTCAAATTTTTAAGCAACCGATAGATTTGATTAGTTATCTTGCCGTCACCAAGGTGGCTGTTGATGTTTGTTAGCAATAGATTTTTAATCGGGTTTTTGTCTTTTGCTAAATTAGCATTCGTTACAATCATTATTATAAACACTTTAATTATTAGTTTCATATTTGAAATTTAAAATAACTCTTTATCGCAAGAATTTCTGTATTG